CTCTGTCCTTTCTGTTTTCCATGTTCATTTCAGCTGTGCTGTATATTTGCACAAAAGTTAGTGATAACCATGGTTACCTTTCCAGGATTTCAAATAATCTCCACACCATTATTTCAAACTCCTGCTGAAATCTAATTCAGATCAGTAATAACTCCAGAGCAAGCCCGAGTGGAGGAAGCTCCTCCATCTTCAACCATCTCCATCACTAGCTATTCCAGGGAGTGGTGAGGAAGATGAGTGGGCTGGGGGGCCATTCCACCAGTCCTGGAGAAAGGCTGCTTCCTCTCGCTGATGCGTTTCCTTCTGCTTTTCCTTGGCCATTGGGTCTTTCTAGATTGCAAGCCTGCTGTCGGGACATGTCCTGTTTCACTGATTATATGCAAGGCTCTCCAGAAGTCTTTTCCACTGGGAAGCAGCACAGCACAGCTTTCCAACACAAACAGATGTGCAGTGCTGTACCAGAGCTGACAACAAAAAAGCTGGTTTGGTTAAAGATGAACATGGTTAAGAGACTGGGGAATGCCACTTATACACTAGGCTTTTACTGTGTAATGCCTTCGTTTCATAAAACGTTCAGCTCATCTATTCTGCAGCAGGGTAGTATCTTAAGGAGCTAATAATATGATGTTATTACATTAATATTATTATATTATTGGACTCAAGAGCCAGTGTGGAGTGGTGGTTCGAGTGCGGGACTTAGGAAATTGGGGTTCTTGTCCCCGCCCTGTCGTGAAGCTCACTGGGTGAATCTGGCCAGTCACTCTTGGCCTAACCTACCTCACGGGGTTTATTTTACTTAAAACTTTTGTATACTGTCCCATCGCAGACATCTTGGGATGGTTCACAACAACAACAATAAAATAGAATAAAAAATAAAAGTAAGAGTAGCACAGCAACCACAGATTTAAAACAAATTAGCAATTAAAATAGTGGGAGGATAAAAAGGGTTGTTGTTGTGAGGATGAAATGGAGCTATGTAAGCCATCTTGAGTGCCTCACAAGAGGAAAAAAGGCAGGGTATAACCACAATGCAATAATAATACTAAAACTAATGAAGCAATAATAATAACACTTTAATAGTAGCCGGTGTGGGACAGTGGTTAGAGCGTTAGATTGGGACTTGGGAAAGAAGCTCACTGGAGGATTCTGGGTCAGTCACTGACTCTAAGCCTAGCCTCCCTGATTGGGTTGTTGTGGGAAATAAACAGGAGCAGAAGAAGATTATGTAAACAATCTCATCAGAGGAGGCAAAGTGGTATATAAATGTAATGTAACAATAATAATACAAAGAGCAGTATGAGAAAGCAAAGGGTATTACACTAGAACAGGATGGCCTTTGGTATAACAATGCATCCTTCTATAAAAATATTTATGTGACCAGATCATGTGTTTTTTGTTTTGATCAGATAAGGCACTGTTGCGTTTGAATGGGCTTTATCTAAAGTGAACGTGAATGAGTTCTGTGACTGTGCCAGCCAAAAGATGACATGAACTCAGCGCTCTTCTGCTAAACTGCCGATGAACCGACCCTTTGAACTCTTGGTAAAATGAGGATAAAACTGACCATCTAAAAGGTAGGTTGCTCCTTAGCACTGGGGAAAACAAAAGCCTGTGGCTATTTAGGAAAGACCTGTGCAACTTATGTTCCGCTGCATGAATGCAACCATCACCAAGCCAGGCACTCAACAAGCCCTGCTGTTTTCAGGTGCATATTTTTTTTTAAAATGCACATGTCTCCTCCATTGACTAAAGTGCAAAATGAGCATCTTTTAAAGTGGACTTATTAAGAAGTGTGCATTTTTACACAAAGTGAAATTGAAAAAGCATGCACTTTAAAGCATACATGATCAAGGCATGCCATTTGAACAGCATTTTCAAAGTGTGCATTTCTTGAAAGTGAGCACATTTGGGGACTCTGACCGTTTTCAGAGAGCATGTGCTCTTGCTTATGTCCAGGGTTGTGAACTAGGCATTTTCAAATAGTTTGCAAACTGAAACAAAATTCGCTTTATCGCTCTAGTTTGTGGGCACTTGCTCTCTGACAAAGTGCCTACGTGGCATCCATCTTTATTGTCTTTTTTTCTTTTACCTGGAACACAGACAAATTGCTGCACTCGACAAACACCCAGTTAACATAAAAAGTAAGTATAAGGTTGTGAAGGTGGAGTCTAGTCAGCCAGCTCTTCAAAAGTAAGGCCCCTGCTCTGCTGCGGTGTGGAAGCAAACAAAGGTGCCAGAAATTCTCTGCTTCCCTTTGCTGAAGGTAGGAAACTGTCCTATTATAAACTGGTGGAGTGGCACGCTCTGTGAAGCACAGAGCAGAAAAGTGTGCTTGCAGTCGCTAAATGGACCCAGCTGGGAAACCACATCCACGTACAGGGCCATGTCTCCTCCTTGACAGAGGTCACTATTAGAGGACTGCCAGAGGACCCCCTACTATTTAGAGGACTGCCAGAGGACCCCCTTTATGCTAAGGGCTGTCCAACTCCAGTTTAAATTAATAAAAACAACCATTCTTTTACTTTATTGTGCCTCACCTTTCTATCAAAAATGGCACTCAAGGCGGTTTACCAAAACTACTAAAATTGGTTTGGACAATAAGGCAGTGCATTAAAATGCAAGAGAAGCAGAGCAGTTAAAGAAAAACAGTACCACCTTCCAAACCTGCATCCAGACCACTTTCACTTCCAGGTGAGATGCCTTCTTCAACAAGTGGTCTCTACCTGCCAGCAGGGAGGAAACAAACCTGGCCTCCCTTGGGAGCGAGTGCTGCGGCTGCCAAAAAGTCCCTCCCTTGGGTGGGCACCAAAGAGTCCTCTGAAGGAGGCAGTGACAAAAGAAGTGTCTCTCCCAGAACACCGTGAGTATCAGTCAGGCCCATATAGAAGAAGAGGGTCTTTCAGGAAGTCTGTGCAAGGCTTTATAGGTTGCTACCAGCATCCTGAACTCAGTCTTATGACCGGTGTCATAAGTACAGGTTACGGTGTCATAAGTACAGGTTAGGTGACAAGTGGCTGGAGAGCAGTACTTGTGAAAGGGACCTCGGGGTACTGGTTGATTGCAGGCTAAACATGAGTGAGCAGTGTGATGTGGTGGTCAAGAGGGCGAACGCCACCCTTGGTTGCATAGCCAGAAGTGTGGCTTCTAGATCAAGAGAGGTATTACTACCACTCTACACGACTCTGGTGCGCCTGCAACTTGAGTACTATGCTCAGTTTTGGGCCCCTCTTTACAGAAAGGATATAGCCAGGTTAGAGTCAGTGCAGCGTAGGGCCTCAAGGTTGGTGGCTGGTTTGCAGGGGATGGGGTATGAGGCGAGACTGAGGGAACTGGGTCTCTTCAGCATGGAGAAGAGGAGACTCAGAGGGGAAATGTTGGCGACATACAGGCATGTGAGGGGGTGTCACACAGAGGTGGGTAGAGACCTGTTCTCCCCTGCAGAGGAAGGCAGGACGTGCTCCAACAGAGCAAAGCTCAGGGAGCCAAGGTTCCATTTGGATGCCAGGAAGCACTTCCTGACAGTCAGGACCCCGAGGGTGTGGAATGGGCTTCCACGAGAGGTCGTTGAGGCCTCATCAGTGAGGATGTTCAAAGATAGGCTGGACATCCACATGGTGGGCATGTTGTGAGCAGAGCTGGCTGGAACTGGGGGTCAGACCAGATGGCCCAGGAGGCCTCTTCTGACTCGCTCTGTTTCTATGTTTCTATGTCTGGAAACAGATGGGCAGCTGTGGCAAGAGAGGAGTGACCTGCTCCCTCTAAGCAGCTCTTGTCAACAGGCCTTAAGAATGGCGGCCCATCAGCAGCACTTGGGCAGCAGACACGGCCCACCTGGCCCCAGCCCTCTCCACCATGATGCGATATTCCTACTGAAGTGGTACCACTCATTTCAAGATGTGCATTTTACATATACATTAGCATATGTAAATTTTATGCAAACCACCACATTCTTTTGTTCCCTATTTTGGCAAAATGTCCCTGCTTTTTGCTAATTCCTAAGCAGCCTCCCTATATCCATTGCATGTGCCTGTGTGCTCACACCCAGACATGTGCGTGCACGTGCACACACACGGGGTTTCTGGTGCTTGTCAGCCCTGAGCACTAGTATATTTGTGGCAAAACATTACCGCCATGTAAAGTGTGAATAGTGCTTTGTGGTTTGCACTCTTTCAACACTTTGTAGAAGAGAAACGATCCTCCCGCCAACTTCCCTAACTGCAGTGCATTCTGTATATGTCTGCCAAGATTTATCTGAAGCAGTGAAAAGCTGCCAAATTTGAGGTCTTTTTTTTTCTGAGAGGGGGTGAGGAGAGGAAGGGTGAACCGACAAGATAAAGGCCTTCATAAACACAGAGATAGTAGGTGCAAATTTCTCAAGTGGTTCCTTGTTTCTAATAATAAATATTTATCCTGGGTGCATTCTTCATGACCTAATGAAAGATTAGCAATTTAGCTTTTGTTATTGTTCAGGTGGCGATCTGGGGCGGCAAGCAGCAAATTCAAGTTGCCTGCAAAGCACCATTTCCTGTTAGTGGCTGAGTCTACCCTCATAGTCAAAAGGAAAGGGCATCATGTACTAAAACTGTGCAAAATGATTATCCCAGCTCTATCAGACTGGAGACAACTGGGACAAACAAACTCAGGAAGTGGCAGGGAGTTCAAAAATAGGAGGAAATCTATGGCAGAGGGAGAAAACCGAAGAGATTGCACGGATCTGCAACCAAAGTCAACTCTGGGTCACAGTGTGCCAAGGATTTTAAAAAAGCTTTGCTTGTCTTATAATACAAAACTGGCATCCACAGCTGGCGATGGCTGTAGAAACGATTCAGATGTGAACATTCAGAATCCCCCTCCCCCCAAAACGAAAGAAAGGAAAAAAAAGTTCTATGTAAGCAAGCAGAAACAAACAGCCAATCCAGTTGCTAAGAGACATTGGACTTCGGCCAATAGCAAACCGAGAGCCTCAAGAATTCTTTATTTCAGCCCTCTAAAGAAAGTACCTGTAGATGACGCCATGTTGATGGAGAAACATGAGTGCCGATGTGACCTCTGCAGCGTAGAAGCGGGAGCGGGGCTCATCAAATTTGCGAGAGCGTTGAATCTGAAACATCAGGTCTCCTCCATTGACATATTCCATGACGAAGAAAAGGCGGTCCTAGAATTCATGAAAATAGAGCCATTTAGCTGGGAGGGTCTGGGGTTGCACAAAGACAGTGCTGTGTGTACGTGGCAATCGGGAAATCGGGATTTGCATCCAGAAATGCAAGCAACAGCAAACTGCAGCTTTTGAATGGGCTGGGGTGGCGACTGAGAATTGGAAGCATAGATTATCTAATGAAGAATGGCAAATCGCCGTAACTAAAGAAAATTCAAGGGAGTTGGAAAAACGACAGACACTGCTTTAGAATTTCAGTCTTAGTTTTAATTTTCAAGGACACGTTTACAAGATGTATAACCCACGCAGACATTTTTTGGTGAGCCAGTGGGGATCTTCTTCCATCAAATCAAACTATTCATGTGCAAAAAAGGGCACGAGCCAAAAGGGACTGTTGACAAGCCACTGCAAGCCCACCTTGCTCTGCCAAAAATTCAGAGTCCAAAGCTTCACCCAGGCTTCAACACCAGTTAAAGCTGAAACAGGTGGAAGAGTTATTTGAAATGGCCCTTTGTGGTGAACCATTTGTATTAAAGGTGCTGGCGGGAGGAGGGGAAGCCTTGAATCAGGGCCTCCAACCATCAAACTCAGCTGCATCCCTTCCTGAGCCACCTGCCAGAGGAGGAGGCTACTGCTTGGGCTGCCTTACTCGCTTCCGCTGCACTTCAGAGCCATGCAACTGGCCAGGGGGTGTTATTGCAGTTTTACATTCAGCAATCTGAATCGTTAAAGTTGAAGCCCTGCTTTAAAGGACAGGGAAATGGTCCAATTCCATTTCGGAGAAGTTCTCAGGGGATGCATTCCAGTGGCACATCAGGCCAAAGGCAAAAGGGATGAGAACAAAGCACCCGAAACACCAGCAGTTTCTATCTTAAAGCACTTATTGCTGGTAGCTAAGCCTATTAGAATGGGGGACACATGCACAAAAACCAGGAAATCACCAAAGGACTGATGGCTGGGGAAAAGGTTGGACCTGCCTGTAGACCACTAAAATGCTGGTCCAGGACTAGGGATCCTAGGGCATTTGGAACTGGCTGATGGAGCTCAGGTTCTGCTCTTCTACTGTAAACCCTAAGGTGTGGTCCTGACTCCTCAGTGGAAGCAGAGGGGGATTCATTGTCTGGGGAAAGAGCAACCTGCCCTTACCTATCATTTTGTATATTCACCTGCTTCCAACATGCTTATCTCCTGACTGGTACTGTGTGCAGAATCTTTTACACATGACTTCAACATTTCGGTGGACGTAAGATGGGAATGTATGAAGAATCTGGCTTGGGGTCAAACTCTGACAGATCGGCCCAGCCTGGCCCCCTAGATTCTGGCCTGTCATCCCTTTGCTGGCACCACCTTGCTCTGATACAAATCGAGTCAGTATGCAGCCTTCCCTCTTTAAAGGATTCCCCTCTCTTTTTTAAAAAAAGAAAGGAAACTTTACCTAAATTGGAGCTGGAATTTGCACAAATGGTGGCTAGAATTTACCCAAATTTTCCTGCCCTAAAAATATGGATATTGAAATCTGCTTTAAAAGTGAAAACCATCACATGTGGACTCATGCGCGCGCGCACACACACGCGCACACACACACACACTTGCAACTTGGCCTGTTTTGGCTCTTGAGTCAGCAAGGTGACAAAGTCTACTGGAGCATAAGCTGGTGCAGTTTCCCAGTGTGGCCCATCCCTAGTCTGAAGTGGTCTAATCAACAGTCCTTACTTGGAGCACAGTATGAATGATTCATCCAGATGAGGAAGCAACTGTATATGTGTACATTTTCTAAATGACGGCCATGTGCCCGGCAGTTCTGCATCCCTTCTGCCATTGGCAGCCTTGGACCTGCACCTGGGTGGCTGCAATCAGTATTTGATCACCTGGCTCAAGAGGGCCAACAAACAGATTTCCCTACTTTACTTCCTACTCTATGTCCTCTGCCAAAGCCCTACCTTTACTTTTATCGTGTGTGTACTCAAATGACCATCTGACTGCTTTTTTCCCTCCAGTCACTCAATTGCTGGCCTCTACAAAGTTCAACAGTCAATAAAAGACAAAAGGAGGGCTATAAAGAGAACTTACCTACATGGAAGGAGACCAAGGAAGGGCTTAGGACCAATTTGCATCTTATGCAAACAGGCAAGCCTGGGTTTCTTGCTGAACTGCTTCTTATCAGGGGAGCTGACAGCCATTATAGTGTCCCAGAATGATACATGTTTTCTTGCTCACATATATGATGTTTAGGCTTACATTTTAAAACACCTTAAGAATATGTCTAAATTAAAAATTACAGTAGGTAAAATGGATCTTTTCTCTGATGTGGCACGAGTGAAGAGCTGTTTCACACTCAGATCATTCCACAGCTAAGCTGTATGCAAGCTGTATATCTTTCACAAGGGACTCCAAAGTTGGTATTCTAAGTTTTGGTAGGATAAACCATGGTGTCCAAGGATCACAATTTACAGGTGTTGTGCTCTGCTTTGTGTAGGAAGCCATGCAGAGGCAGATGTGGAGGCACCCTGGTCCCACTGAAGCTAAAAGAATGAAAGCCTGAACAGTAGCGGGACCAAAGCCCAAAGGGATCATCCATAACCTTGGAGTCACACTCCTCTTTGTGATTGCTCAATGCATTCATGTACATTTCCCCCCACCTACAGCATTACAGCCCCAAGGTCATGGCTGATGTATTTAGCAGAAGTGAACAGGACTTCCCTTTGGGTGGGAAAGTTCCGGACCAAGAGCAGATCAAAGCACCTACACCAGTTGGATTAGGGCCAGTGTCAAGATATCTGGGAAGAATGCTGAGGAGGACAGCTCGATCCATAGAGCCAGCCAGATGGGGAAAGATAAATGGAGCTGAAGAGATGGAAGCATGAGGTCCATTGCTGGTAAGAAGGCAATTTTGTAATAGAGAAATGGCCAGATGTCAGAGATTTGGCTGACTGCTAAAATCAGTATGCAAAATTCAGTCTTCTTGGGCACAGACACCTCTTGTCTATGCCCATTTTCCTGAAGGTTTATCCTTCCTTTTGGATTTCTTCTTTGGTTCTTCTCTCTTGTCTCCATTGTTCCCAACCATTTCAGACATGATCCTATGCATGCTTAGCCCAAAAAATAAAAAATGCCTACAGCTCTTAGACTGTCCTAGCCTGCCCTTCATATTCTGTCTTGCCTCTCCTAAGCTCTACTTGTTTCCCTGGCTTGCCTTATTGCATTACATCTATGCCTACCCTTGGCTCCTTCTCTAGGACGTCCACCCCACAAAAAGAAATGCATCATCCAGAAGAGATGGCAGTAATTTGCAAACATGTATATGTAAAGATGCATGGATTTATTAATATTTATTTATACATGTATTTATAGGCCGCCTATAACTGCCGAAGCCTTCCTAAGCAGCTTACAATACATAAAACATATTAACAAAGTAAAATACATTAAAACCAATTAAAACACAATAAATTAAAACACCTATAAAAGCGAAATGAAAAGGGCCACAGCATTCAGGCTATGTGTTAAAAAAATTCCTAAAAAGGCATGTCTTCGCCTGGCCGGGAAGGAAAATAAAGATGGCACCAGGCGAGTTTCCGTAGGGAGGGAGTTCCAAAGATGTGGAGCAGCAGTGGAAATGTATGGAAACAATTATTATAATATTAATAGAAATCTCAGCAACATCTAGAAGGCTGTGACCAGATCAACTGTTTGCCTGCTGTTGCTGATGGGCAACCATTCTGATAGCTCTTCAGGTTTGAGCAGGAAAAGGTAGTATGGTCTCTTAAACAGAGGACACCTTTTCTGTCCCCGTTTATTTATTTATTTACTCACTCACTCACTCATTTGCTTATTTATTAAAAGCTTTTCTATCCTGTCACCTACAGAATGTCTTGGGACGGCCTTTCTTGCCTTCCTTGCCTGTTTGTAGGATCTGAACAGCTCAGCCAATGGTCGCTGGATACCAGGTGGGCTCGCATGTCTCGAGAACCCTTCATGGCAAAGTGCCCCAAAGGGTTGCCCTGAAGTGCAAAGCAGCTGCAGCTTGCTCGACAGATGATTAGGCTCATCGGACTTGCTCTGTGGCACCACCTGCCTCCTTCCCTCTCACTCCTCCAGGCAGGATGCCAGGGGACACCACAGGGAGGAATGAGGCTGCTCTCTTTGGCGGCTGCATTCGGGAGCCAATGCTGTCAATGTACAACGTACAGAGCCAATGCTGTGATGTACCAAGGGGCATACCCCCGGAAGTGCAGCAGAGAGGATGGGTAAGCAGATCAGGCACCCTCCTCTCCTGTCCCAGAGAAGACCTCACTCTTGGGCACAGGGCGACTCAATCAGCCTCACTCCTAGGCAGCACTGCGCAAAGGAGCAGCGACACTCAGCTGATCCAGCCACTCCTGCCTGGGAGGCTTTCCCTCGAGCAGAAAGGAAGACCCCGGGCTGGGCGGGAATGCTCCCTTCTCAGGCCATCCTCACCCAGCCCAGGCAAGCCCTTCCCCACTTCTGCTGGAGATAAGAGCTCAGGCAGGAGCAGGCAAGGCATAGCCTGGGCTAGGCTGGGATGGCCCCAGATGGAACTTCTCCCTTCCCCTCCCTTCCAGCAGGCCTGAAGGTGGCAAGCCCCTCCTCCCCATTCCCGTTTGGGAGAAAGGCCCTCTTGCACATGCCGGTTCCCGAACCCAGCTCCTGACAGAGAGTGCTAAGCAGGAGGGAAGAACAGGGGGACCATCCTCACTTCTGGTGGGAGAAAAGTGGTCTTGCTGCTTGGAAGAGAGGGGTTCTGGCATGCCCCAGGCTGCCTAGCTCAGCAAGCACTGGAGTGCATTTCTCCCAGGAGGGAGTGCAAGGGGGGGGCACTTGTTCCCAGGGTGGCCCTCCCCAGATGATCCTTCTTCCTCCTGTTGACCCATATGGGGTGTCCTCTCAGGAGCAAAGGGTGGCAATCACCTGGGCTTCTCTGAAGCAGGAGGAGCTGGGACCCCTCTGGCTCCTGTGCCAAACAGGAGCAGCTGTTAGTCATG